CCACTTGGTCCATTCAGTGTCAGTCTAACAGGGACATCTTCCCCTCTGAGCTCTGCACTGTCTTCCCAAAACCCAGTTGGTTTCCTGCTTGGGAAAAGATGGAGAGGACACAGGGTGTCCTAAGTTGGTGGGACACAAGTCACCACTTTTGGCCAAATCCCTCATGCCCAGACATGGCATGTAAGGACCCTCCTTACTGGTTCCACAGTAATACAACACCATCTTGCTGTTGGGTTTAGGGCAGTTACATCATCCCTTCCAGTCTTCCAGCAGAAGTGTTCCTTGGTGCCCAGAAAACTGAAGAAGGGAGGGTAGATAGACGTACTCAGTAGCAGCAGGCACCTGAGGGCTGGGCAAGCTAGGGAAGGGGGCCCTTCTTTGAGGCTCTGAGTAACAGTGACGCATAGCTAGGCTCCTTGGGTCCTGCTGGACCTACAGTTTGTTCCTTCTAGCCTAGCTCCAGGGCTCATGCCTGGGCCATGGAGTAAGTATGTGTTCCAGGGCAGGATAAACCAGTGACTCTTTAGAATATAGCCAAGTAGGGAAGAACTGGAGACAGCATGACGGATATTCTCTGAGGTCAGGGTTCAGGCTAGAACAGGCCTGAGCTCAGTTCAGACTAGACCAGGCCTGCCCCAAGCCAGATGTATGTGCAGGTCATAATTGCATCCTCCTGAATTGTCGCTGGGACAGTTGATCCAAGCTTTCTTCCTGGTAGAAAGAGAGCTTAAAGGTAATTGTGGGATGGTATGAGACCCCACATTCTCCCAGAATCTCTCGTCCTACTGTCCTACCTATTATTTTTTGCCACCTTGCTAGCATCTTTCTGAATTTCCCACTGAGTTTTCAGGGAAGTCTGACTTCCATGACCATTCACTCACTTAGGCACATACCCAGTGAGCCTACCTGCTCACAGACACACATCTGGGGGCATGTGAGGAGACTAGGGGAGGTATGGGTCTTAAAATCAGTTAGAGTAGCTTACTGCCCATTATTATGCTAATCAGTTACAATCTGAAGATGATGTATCAATTGTCAATGTTTTAATTTATGACTTTTAAACTTCACTGCAGTGCAAAATAGGTCTGTATTAATCAAAAATTGCATCCTGTAAGCTGAATTTCAACCCATTCTTAGTGTTACATGCATGTTTGATCTTCTTTCTTGATGCTTGGTAGTAGTAAAATCACACACCACAGCCAGCTCCCGAAAGGCAGGGTGAGCAAGCAGCTCCACCGGGTGCCATGTGGATGCACTGTTGTATCCACTAAGATAGGCAGATAACAGCTTTCTCTCTCTCTCTCTCTCTCTCTCTCTCTCTCTCTCTCTCTCTCTCTCTCTCTCTCTCTCTCTCTCTCTCCCTCACTCCCTCTCTCTGTATGTCTCTGTGTGTCTTTCTCTCTGTGTGTAAGTGTATATCCATGTGTGAGCATATATGTATGTGTGGGTGTGTGTGTGCAAGCTAGAGGACAACCTCATATGTCATTCTTCAAGTACTACTCACCTTTTTTTCTAAAGGGTCTTTTCACTGACCTGGAGCCTGCTAAGCAGGCTACATTGGCTGGCCATAGACCCCCCCAAGGATCCATCTGTTTCTGCCTCCTCAATGCTAGGATCATATGCAGGTTTTGTTTTTTTTTTTTACATGAACTCTCGGGCTAGAGTTCAGGTACTTGTTTACAAGGTGAGCACATTACTGATTGAGTTTTATCTCCACAGCTACTGTAATGCATTTTAACTTACAATAATTTCAATTTATGATGTTACCCCATGGCAACATCTGTGATGGTTATTAAAATAATAATGAGGGCTATCTTTAAAAGACTAGGCTGAATTAAAATGGGAAATACCACAGTACATTGAATTGTGCGTTTGCATATTTATGGCTAAGAGGAAATATGAATCTCATGGCTGGACTAGGGTCAGTGAACAGCAAACTTTCCGGGAAGGAACTGAGTGGGCATTTGGCAAGATCTTCCAGGTGGATGTGGAGGGAAAGACGATATTGGTTAGGAAAACATCCATTCTGCCTCATTTGGGTACTACTGGCAGATGTAGATCACCATGGTCCTGCTGTACAGACTCAGAGAATTCAGCAAAAGGAGAGTTAGGCAGGGCTGCTTTCCTGGGAGGGGCTGGGGGTGGATGAAGGGCCATTGGAACTGAGTGTAAGATGGTTTGGGTAGGGAGTAGGCACAATGACAGCCAGTCCAAGGCTCTAATATAGCTCAGGCCCTGAGTCTGGGTAAAAGCCATGGTTCCTTCTAACCCTGAAGCTGAACAGTGAGAAGTGGGTGGGAACCCTTCCTTGAGGTTTGAGCTAGGCGGGGATGAATGAAGGCTCTGAAGCAGTAGAGCACAGACCAACCCCCACTTCTTCCTGCACTGGAGGAGCACAGGGTCCCCGGCATACAAGACCTCTACAGACGAAAATAGTCCCCACATCCCTGGAGGCCCATGAATCACTCCAGTTGCTCATAATTGCTAAGACACCCTTCTCTGCTGCAGCATAATAATCTTGCCCCTGGCTTAGGTATCCCCAGTGGGACCTCCTTTGGGTTTTGATCCATACTGAGGGACACCCAGGCCAGCCTTCCCCACAAAGAACTCAGAGAATCTGAAAATTTCAGGGGGAAGGGCAGCAAAAGACTAACTGTGGATCTCAGGAATGAGAAAAATCAACTACCTCAACCCCTGGCAGCCACCTGGGGAAGGCAAATGTCTACATTGCCCTTCCCAGCAATTCTGGACTGCAGCAAAAGACTCACGCAGGGCTTTCTGAGGCTGCCTACTCATGGGGGTCTCTAGGACACATTTGCTTTGTTTGACCTGCGTTTATTTAGTGCTGTGGAAGCGCCCCAGCTGGCTGTTTGCACCGAGATCTGGTGTGCTGGACTCAGCATTCTGGGGAGGTGAGGGCCCCTTGTGCTCCAAGGCTCTTGTTTGCAGAGCTCAGGAGGACCCAGTGGGATGGAGCCTAGACAAACACTGAGCATCCTTGACTTCAGAAACTCTACCGGTAAACACTCCCCTGCCACGCATTTCTGCCTTGCATTGATTCAGCTGCAGAGGGCAAATGGCCCTGAGCAAGGGCCAAGGGGAGCCCAGGCGCAACTGCATCCAGAAAGATCTGTCATGAAGGTGGCATAGCTGAGTAGGCAATCACCATGGCCCCCCATCACAGTGCTGGGGTATGGGGGGCAGATAGCCGTGAGTGCCCAGGCATGCAGCAAATGCTCCATTGGACCAGCTTAAGTCAAAGGCTATTTGCTACCACCTCCTGCCTCCCTGCCAACCCTATCCTAGGGCAGAGGGATAGGGTTAAGAAAGGTGCTTCTGGGACTTCAGCAGCTCTGTGGTTGATCAGCACTGATTATCTTTGGCATGTCTGGGGGAAGGGGCTAGACCCTCTTAAGATGGGCATCCAGAAAAACCACAGGCCAGGGGGTCTTGGGAAGGACTCCCAGCCCCCAACTGTCCATGTACCTATAGCTATGTTGAAAAGAACCCAGCTGCTTTGGTAGCTGGGCATGGCTCCTCTAAAGTAGGCACTTCTCCACTCCCAGAGATTGGGTAGGTAAACAACAACAGAACTTTCTAGAAAGTTCCATCAGTAACAGATGGGACTTGTGGCTAAAGAACTGAGACCCAAGTGGATCTCAGGCGTGGAGTTTGAACTGAACAAGCCTGGGCTGTCTGCAGTAGGAAATCAGCCCTCCCCACACTTGACCTCCAGGACTGTAGGATGGCAATTCTGTATAGTTTAAAACTACCAGCTTGTTGGGTCTTCTGTCACAGTAGCAACAAGAAATGTGAAGGTAGCCTTGAATAGCCTTCCATCAAAGTCAGGGCCCCCAGGGGTACTTTATCTACTCAACCAAATCTATGGCCTGCTAGGAAGGCCTTCAAAGTCCACAAGCCCTGTCTCCTGCCACTGATGGGTCCCTCACTATATCTGCCACTCGTTTAATATCTTTGAACACCTGTACCACTATTTGTTTAGCACTGTTCCTTAAACAGACTCTGTTTCCTTATCTGAGTGTGTTTTAAAAGCCAGAAAACATCACTTTGTGTCGAAGTTAGTTGTGAACTGTACATAATTAAAAGTAAGTTTGACTGAATTTGTTCAGGTTTCTCTGAAGGACTGAGAGATGAAGGCATATTGTTCATATCTTCCATCCTCATTCTTAGCACTGTCCCCAGAGAAGCACCCTGAGGAAACCTGTCTCACACAGGGAAGAGAAAATGTTGGTGGCTTTTCATGGCTTCAAAACAAAGGGGGAGTCACAGTTGGCATCTATGGGTGCTATTCCAGCTGGTCATGGGCACAGGGTGATGGCTTGGGACCATAGGTTCTGGGTTGATTCACAATGAATCTGTCTTGTCTATCGCCTCTCTCACATGTCTTTGGTCACTGTGACACAAGAAGGGGCTCTCACACAGGAAGACTGTGGCCATTGCCCTCAGGATCTACCTCAAAGCCTCATTCCCAGCAGAGTTTCTGATAGCTTGTCCCTCTATCCTCTAGACTAGACTTGATCAACCTGATACAGACTGAACAAGGTACCACACTGACAGCCAGGTGTGCTTAGAGTGGCAGGGTGGCCCAAAATCTCTGGTAGATGTTATCTGGTGTCCACAAAGGAGCCTAATGACTGAACAAGTATCAACTCTTCTCCCAAACTTTGCAGGACTCACAATGGTCTTAAAGTCAAGGGGTGGGGCTGATGACAGGCCTAGCTGAATATGAGCAAGTTCTTGGTAGAGAGAACCTAGGCCACCAGCTCTCCAAGTCTCAGAGGAGAGCCTAAGCCTTTCTAGAAGGAAAATTGCCACATATGACCAGAGCAAAGTTGTCTTGTCAGATGCCCTTCTTTTGCATAATAAGAACACTGACTACCTTATGTCTGCCCCATTTGTGACCAGGACTAGCTTATCACCTGGTTCCACTACCCAACAGTAGTCTTGAACCCACCCACCATTGTCCTTATAGCACTTCAACTGGTCCATCTGTGCCTTATCTGAAGGCTGGAAAGCTGTCACCTGCAGGCACTAGGGGAGCCAAGCTACCCTAGGATGGGTTCCTGATTTGACCGTGACTGCCTGATACAGGAAGAATATAGGATACCAGTCTCGGAGGTACAGGGTGAGGCTGTCCCTCAAGGCCCCCTCTAGGAGGCCCAGCTAAGGCTGTCTACATCCCTCATAGAAACAGACCCATCAGGACTAGCAACATGGGAATGGGATTTTGGAGATAGGGCCAGACCATCATCTGTGGATTCCCAGCCTCCACTTATACCAGAGATCCCTGGGGCTCTATCTGGTGAGTGGGACAGGCTGTGTTGTGCTGTCCACCTGGCCTCCGTCACCTATACTGCACCTGCAACAACAGGGCGTTGGAGCCGGCGTCCGATTACGGGCCCCTTCGCGGCCTGCTCTGAATTCCTGCGGAAAGCCGGCACATGGAGGTCTGGGCAGGGCAAGAGGACAATCCACGCAGTGTCTGTGCAGCTGGCACTGCAGCATGTGGCCTGCTGAGAGGGCAGCCTGGTCCAGCCCAGGTCCCAGGTGCAGCCAGCATCTCCCAGCCCCCAACACCAAGGCTCCACAAACCCCTTCCTGGCTAAATGACACCCTGCCAGAGACCTCTGGACCCTGAAGGGTGCCTTCTTGCACCCCCTAAGCACATTTTGCTAAAGAGAGGGGGCCGGGGGGTGAGACACAGGCAAAGCAGTCATAGTACTTTCTCTGTCTACTTCGGAGGTGAACATACCCTGTGGTACCCTTACCAACATGCCAGGAGCTGGTGACTCTTTTCACAGTAGGGCTCTTTTATCTCTCTGCATAGTTAAGGCATAGGTCACCTCCTCAGAGAGTCCTCCCAGCTTATTCTGGCTTCTTGACAACACTGTTGCCCACCAAGAACCATGTCATAAAGACCCTCAACCAGACTCAGCCAATTGGTGGGGGCTAACTTCTGCCTCCCTTTATCCCCTCCCTACCAGAGGAAGTATCTTTTCATTTTATTTTGTTCATATTTTTAATTTCTCACCTTAGCCACAGCTTGGGCTCCTGGAGAGCTTCGTTGAGGAAGGGCTAGAATATGGATTCTCCCTGGAGCCTCCTGAGTCCCATCCCAGGGCAGGGGTTGGATATAGTACTGGTTCCATGCTCAAAATATCCCTCCTCTGGGTGTCATGGGTGCCAGGCTCTTTGTGTCTCCTGCGTATGCTCCTGCACTTTCTGAATGTGTAGTACATGTCAAGGCTGTGACAGCCCCTCCAAAGGTAATTTGAACCATGGTTCTGTACTCACTGACACCCAGGAGTCTCATGTGCCGTGGCGTTAGCAGGGACTTTGCCACGACCTCGGCTCCCTGCTAGGCCTGGACCCACCAGCCGGGGTTTTACAGCCTGTTAGGGCCGAGTCCGCATGAAGCCTTCCCGGCATTTTACACAAAGGTTCTTCGCCGTGAGCAGAGTCAAACAGATTCACGTTGGGATCATAAATATAATTAGGAGACTTTTATTTTCAAGTAGCACTTCTGAAATCTATAAAATTAAGCTAATATACTGATTTTTTAAAACACAGGAATTTTATTGCTCTATGAGTCAGAGTTTGCCAGCCCATGAGGTCGGGAATTAACTCCTTCCCATTCTCACTCAGGCAGCCAGTGGTGGGCCTGAAAACCTGGACCTGCTCTCCCTGCTGAGGGTACATGCTCTAGAAAAGCAGGTTCCTGGGACAGGATGGTGACTAGGCGGGGACTGACCTCCACCCCCAAGCATAGCTACTTCCCTCACCTTGACTCTCCGCCTTTTCTTTGCTCTTCCTGAACCCTGAGGAGCCCAGAAAGGCTCAAGATCCAGCCTCTGCCCCTCCTGGAATCTGCTCCCTCAAAGTGTCCTTCCTGACTCCTCTTCTCTTAGGAGAGTTCTGACTAGTGCCCAGCCCTCATCTGAAGCTGCCTTTTTTTCTGCGGTCCTCTCTAGACCCTGTTAATAGGATGTGGTACCTCAGCACTGCATCTTGGGAAATCAGGCCAGCATATTTAGCATAATCTTTGGAAGGGGTAGGCAGGAAGCATGAAACATTGCTATGACTACCTCATGTGGGCACCTCAAGGGCAACCTGAAGCTAACCTGACATCTTCTGGGTTTCCCACTTGTGACTGAGTTCTGGGTGTCTCATAATGACCAAGTTCTCACTCTGTAGCCCTGCCTGACATGACCTAGACACATCATCTCATGTTGTGGAGGTTACAAGGCAGCGTCTTACTTCACAGACTCTAGGCATGTCCTCTGTTCAGGGACTAGGCCCTTTCCTTAGGTCCATAGGGGTGAGTGTCTCACCTTTACAGAGAGACAGAGAGGTGACCATCTTAGGGACAGCAATTTAGTAGTCCTCTCTTCCTCCTCTTCCTCTTCCTCCTCCCTTTTTATTCTAAGACAAGGTTTCACTATGTAGTGTTGTCTAGTAGCCTAGAACTCCCTATGTAGACCAGGCTGGCATCAAACTCATAGAGATAAGACTGCCTCTACATCCCACAGGCTGGGATTAAACTAAAACTGAGTAATGCATTGGCTGGAAATCAAACCAAAGTCTTCTGTGTGTCAGGTGAGAATTTTACCACTGACTCCCTTCTTGCAGTCTTGTGTACAGTCCCTTTGTGCTATTCTGTGTGCATTGTCAGATTTAACACATTTTCTTGGGAAGCTCAATTTAAGCCAGATGTGTACGGAGAGTCACAGCTTGCATGATGACAAGTTGAGGCTTCCATGGCACATGTGATGTGTGTTTGCATGCCATTCAAGGCATTCATTTCCACTGGGCCCAGGGCAGTCATGGCACAAGCTTGACCACATGGCTGCTCTTAGGCACACACAGACATCACCCTAGAGACCTTCATTGGCCATCATTTTTGGTGCCTCTGTCTGGAGCCTAGGTAACCAAACCACAATTCTTATTTCACATCAGAGGAACCTGAGTCAGGAAACTTATTCCAAGATGCAGAGAAACAGTACACCTCATTCTTGCTCCTAACCACACAGTAACTTCTGGAATCGCTACCCAGGTAGGTACCAGACTAGAGGATTCAGGACACTGTTCCTAGGCGTTTTCTCAATTCTTAGGTCCTAGTCTCAGGGGTGCCCCATTGTCTAGCCACCCAGCATCCCACACAAGCAGCCTGACTCAGGCCTCAGTGACCCTACTGGTCCATCACACTCACTACAGAGCCTGCTGATACCATCTCTACCAAGTGCATCGTCATTGAAGACCCAGCCTCTCTCTAGACACTGCCTCATCTTCATATTGCTAGCTTTGCTAGTTGGTGGGCTTGGACCCATGGCTTCCCTGACTCTCATCCATCCTGGCTTGTTTTGAGGCCTGGTGCAATTATCAACTCATTCACTGCAGTATTCATTTATTTTCTCTTCAAATGCTTACCAGTCCTTCCCTCCTATGCCTGAAACCCCCGAAACAGAGCTGAACCCTTCCCTGGGTCTTAGTCTTCCAGTTCCTGAACAGAGAGATACAGTACAATCTACCAGCATCTAGAACCACCAGGAAGGAAGGCAATGTCAGGCCAGCTAGAAGCCAGGGCAGCCTTGATTTATAACGTGTGACTTGTTTTAGCTGCTCCAGGGACCTGAAGACAAAACAGGACTCAAAGGAAAGTGTGTGTGTGTGTGTGTATACACAAAGGCCCTGAGGTAGGAAATGAAAGCAAACAATAGGTCCGGAAGTCTCCCTCCTGTCCTGTAGAACCATTGCCACTTCTGGTTTTGGCTGGCTAGGGGGTTCAGCTTCAGGTGGGAGGGTGAGACAATTGAATGTGCATACTATCTTCCCTACGGGATACCTGGGTTTGGTCTGGTCCCTCCTACAAGGCCTCTCCTGGCAAAGTGACCTGCTCTCCTCCCAGGAACTGCTGATTGGGAGTTTGGGGGTACCCCACTATTCTTTGGAGTCTGCCCTAACCTCCATACTTTTATAACCAGGGCTCGCTCCTCACTGGGAATTCCATGCTCAACTGGGCCTTCCATATTGTGCTATGGGGAGGAGGCTGACATGATAAAGGATCTGTAGGAAAAAGAGGGTTGGGGTCAGATCAGAGGGAGCAATGTGGATGTTCCTCCTTGTACTGAGACAAGTTGAGGGACTTGAGGGTGGTGAGCCCTAAGAGAGGGAGTCCTTTTACTTTGGACATGGGAGGAAAACCTGAGGCTGGATGTGGGCCTAGGAAAAGACAGAGTTGTAGCTGCTTCTGAGTTCCTGGATGCTGCATTGTGACTCTGGAGATGTGTGAGGTTGGGTCATGTATCCCATTTTATGGAGCAGGAAACAGTGGTGAAGGGCTTGCCCCATGTGAAGAGGACTCAGGTGTCTTTGAGTTTGTGTCCCACCAGGGAAACTGGCTGGCCTGCTGCCTGTGGGTGGCCACAAACTCCCAGAAGGATCCCTAAGCTCTAGAGCCTGCTGTGACTGGAGCCACCCCTGCCTCAGCACAGTGGGGCTAAGGCCCACAGGGTAGAGGGTCTGGCCAGGGGACTGCCAGGGCAGGGGTCCCCTCCCTAGGCCCCAGTGGGTGGGACAGAGGCCCTCAGGCTCCGGCTGCGAGGCGAGGCCCTCAGTGGCGGCCACAATAAATATGTTTGTTCAAGGGAAGCCAGGCTGGGAGCTGTGTGCGCCGGCCCGGTGAGGAAGAAAAGGCTGCTTGTGCCTTGCACACTGGGGTGATTGTTCCTGCTCACGCAACCACTGCCCCATGGCCGGAAAGGTCAGACGGCCCTCAGGCCCCGTCGGAAGCACCCGGTGCCTCGGGCCCCTTTGCTTGCCCCCTGCCATGATGTCCTGTAATGCCCGCATGCAGCCTGCCTCCTGGCCTTGGCATGGGTAGAGAAGCAATGAGGCCAGGGGAGAAATGAGGCTGGGAGTCCACCTGTCCAGCTCAAAGGATACAGTAGAATGGTATGAGAAAAGGTCCTGTGGGGGACTCCAGTGCTCAGGGGCAGCCAGGAGCTAGTTGGGGGGCTTTACTAATTTGCTCAGCTGACTATAGGCCTAGACATTAAGGATGCCATGGTAAGAGAAAGGGAGAGGTCCATAAACACATAAAGGTCAGCAGGTCACCATTAGAGGCCAAAGCAGCTATTGCTGCATTCTGCTAGATGAGATGGCTGAAGGAGGCCCTACCCAGCCACCAAATCTACTATAGATGGATACTATAGAGACCCACTCCTGCTCTTTGGGCTAGGAGTATAGCTTAACTGGTAGAGTGCTTGCCTAGCATGCATGAAGCCCTGGGTATCATTCCTAGTATTGCATGAAACTGAGTGTGTTGGTGCACATTTTAAATCCCAGAACTTGGGAGATGGAGAAAGCAGGAGAATCAGGAGTTCAAGGTTATTCTTGGCTACACAGTCGGTTTAAGGATAGTCTGGTCTAAATAATACCGTCTCAAAAATAAAAACACAAACAAATACCTGGAATCCCAGAATGGTCTTCCAATTCCTGAGATAGAAGAGGAGGAACACATGAACTTATAATTTGCTGACTTCAGTAGTGGATCCTGAGTGATGCCTATCAAGTCTCTATCACCTTCCTTTCTCCAGAAAGCTATTAATGGACACCTCCAGAACCACACCAGCATTTTCACGACTAAGACCATGACTAAGATGACTTAGGAAGACTGAGGGAGGTTCAAGTTCCAATTGAATTGTCCTGTGTGTGTGTGTGTGTGTGTGTGTGTGTGAGAGAGAGAGAGAGAGAGAGAGAGAGAGAGAGAGAGAAAGAAAGAGAGAGAGAGAGAGAGAGAGAGTGAGAGAGAGAGAGAGAGAGAGAGAGAAATATAAGTGGCTTCTGTAGCCTGGCTTGGCTCAATGAACCCCTTAAGTCACTTGCAGCCATCAAGGCTAGGGCCTATGGGTGAATAGGATTTGTGGGAGGGGCTCTAGCAGCAGTTGAGGATAAAGCATCAGAGGCCCTGAGAGTAAATTGACACACAGGCTCTCACTGCTCTGCTACCATTCTGGTGTAGGCTTCCTTCCAATAAACCTACTTCTTGCATACACTTGTTGTCACAGGGCCCCTGAAGGACTGGACTTGTTCAGAGGTAACCTTCTAATGTTGAAAGGGGAACAGTACAGCATCATGGCTAGAAGACAGCCACTCTTTAATGGCCACTGTGTTTTGTGTCCAAGGTGACATGGATGTGATGGTGAGTGGCCTGTGACAGTGGCTCTTATTCTCAGGATTCTACTACTGAAATTCTACCAGAACATGCCAGATTCACCATAGCCTGAGTTTCCCGGGGTCCTAGCATCCTGACAATGGGATAAGAGCATGTAATAATGTCCTCTGGACAATAACCATAGGGTTCAAGGTGGGTGGAACCCTTAGAATTTACCTGTGCCTTTTGTCCTTAGGAAAAGGCAAAGGTTGTACTCAGGCCAAGGTGAGTTCAACAACCCCCAAGTGGGAGAAGCTTGAGCTAGCTATGCCTGCAGGTTGTTGTTGAGGGACTCTGTGATATTCTTTCCTCTACCAGGCCAGGCAGGGCTTTCCCCATCTCAGGCTCCATGTTTAGCTGTCCAGCCCCAGATTCATGTTCACTCATCACCCAAGAAGATGAGTCTCTTATTTCTCTCAGGGAAACTGAGTCACCAGTGAGTCATGGCTATTAGGAGACAGTTAGAGCTCTAGTACACATAGCACCAGTCCTGGGCTTGGTGGTAGACAGCCATCAAAGGCCAAACACTTCAACAGTCTGGTCAGAATCTTTATCCTTTGTCCAACTCAGCCCCTTGAAGCCACAGTAACTGCAAACCTAGCATTCTCCATGGCAATCCTTATCAGCTACCCAACTCCCTTTCTGGCTGCATAAACCCCTACTTTACTCTTGTTCCTTTCCAGGACTGGCCCCTTGGACATGCTGCCATGTCACTACCCTGACTGTACTCCAGTGAACTTCTAAGAGCCTTGTAAGGAAAGAGAAAGGCAATGGGGACTGCTGGGAAGAAGGGTCTGAAGAGGGGAAGGTGGAGCGTGGAGGAAGAGCAGGCACCAGGAGCCAGAAGGTCAGGAAGAGGATTTACTCTCTTGCCATCTTCTTGTGGAAACCCAACCACATGTTGACTTGACCCTACCTTGAACTCCTGACCCCTAGAGCCCTTTGCTGTGTACTCTTTCAAAGTTGTTGTGTTGGTGGGAGTATGTTACATTTACCACAGGAAACTAAAATCACCCTTTAAAATAAAATGCCCAGATTCATCGCTTTCCTCCTTATAACCTAGTTCTCTCTTGCTTGGACTAGGACAGTAGCTTCTGTTCTGGCCTCCCAGTTTGCCTCTTGTCCTTCCCAAAAGCTGGCTCTATCAATAGGAGTTTGAGTCTCCTAGCAGATGTGACCTGGATCTGCAGGAAACCAGCCCACTATCAAGCCACTAAAGATCCAATCATAGCTATAGTGGTAACTTTTCAAGACACTCCTGTAGGAAAGATAGCTGGTGTGTGGGCATTTCCTGCAGGATAGCATACTTCTATCATGCACAGTACACTCTCTAAAGGAAGTCAGGAAGAACCCAAAGGAGCTACAACCATATCCAGGGTGGAAGAAAGAGGTGAACAACTTCTCAAAGATGCTCTTGGCAGAGAGGACAGGACATCTGGCACCTGTATGAGAGGAGGGTAGCACCATTGTATACCCTAACCAGAGGGTACACCCAAAAGCCTTAGGACATGAACAGAAGGAAGAAGGTGGGTACAGAGTTCCTAGGCAGAGTAAACACAGGGCGAGGGAGGACATTTTTTTTACTGTGTACAACAATGGCAATGAGACAGTGGGATTGGTATAAAGTTTCTGGAATCAGGCACCCCCTCCTCTTACACTATCGGCCCTGCAGCATCCATGGAAGACTACTTGAATGTTCCTGCTCCTCACTGCCCATACAAAGACCGTGTCTCAGGGTTTCATATGGAAAGCCTTGAAACCTGGATGACATCTCTGCCTGCCTCCCGTCCCCCTTGCCTCCAGGTCCTATGGCCTTCTGCTGTTCATGCTTGCAGGAGACTGACTTGATTTGGTCTCATGCCCAGACCCTTCCCCATGGCTTCCTACTTGGATTTAGCCAATGAGACACCTGACAGAATGGTGGAAGGAGGAATGAGGTCACAGAGGCACAAGACTCCCCACTTTGGGGTCACCAGCTGTGACTTGCATCTTGGATCCTAACTCTCTCAAGTTGATCAGGACACATGACTCATATTTGCCTGAGCTTCAGACTCTCTTCCCTTAGTACCTAAGTCTGGGGCAGGATCTGATACTGCCTAGGGTCTTGCAGGGGCTTGTGGTTCTCAATACCCTGATACCTCTGCAAAAGAGCCTGGGGACTTTTACTCAGGCCTCCAGTGGGGGCCTCTCTGCCCAATGTAGGAATGGCTGAGCAGGGAAGCAACTGTTGCCATGGCAAGATAAGCCAGATCTCCAATGGTATAAAAACCTCCACTTCTCCCATATCAAAGTCAGCTTCTATTTGGGATAACACAGAAATAACATGATTTGGGAGGGAACAATCAAACTATATTCTTCCCTGCTGGGAATTGGCCTTACCCCTCTCTCCGGCTCTGCTTCATTAGCTTGTCACCACAGTCCCACCCAACCCCCCTTTGGTCTTGAAGTCACCTCCCTCTTATATCAGCAGAGAGGGTGGGAGTGGGGCTGTCAGAGCCTGGAGTGGGTCACTTCCCTGCCCTTAGTGTCTTCTGCCCTGCCAGAGGCACGCTCATCTCCCTAGCTGCTTCTGCGCTTCTTTGAAAGTCTGTCACTAGCTCTAGGCTTGCCTCCAGGAAGGGTGTGCCCTTCACTCAAACACATCTGGGACATAGTTCAGTGGTGGAATGCTTGCCCAGTACATATAAAGACCCCCCAGTTCAATTTCTAGCAAAACACACACACACACACACACACACACACACACACACACACACTTCCTCAACCCCCAAATAACATCACTTCTTATCTGAGGTGCCAGCAGGTTACCTAATCTGTCCAGTAATCCAGGGGTCCTGGGTGGACATTTCTCCACTCACTCCTGACCAAGTTTGCCACATCAGCACATATCCTGAGAGCCATCTCAGTTTCTCCAAGCCACCGCCCTAACCCACCCTTGGCCTTGTCCTTGCTGGGGCCAGCTGGAAGCAATCTCCCCAGAGCGGCAGGTGGTCCTCCCTAGCAGGCTCTTGCTAGACCATCCAAAGCCCCGCACCCACACAGAGGTGGCTCTGCATGCACAGCAGGTTTGGGCCCCTTCCCCGCTAGAATGAAACAAGCACTTTGGAATTCACAGAGAAATCTGGGGTCTTTAGCTGCTGTTTTTCTTGGCGCGGCCTTATCACAAATTAGTGGGGAAGCCCGAAGGTTAGGGTTTCAGTGAGCTCAGCAGAATCTGAGAAGTGAGGAACTGGCATCCTGCCTTTCTAAGTCAGAACATACTTGACCTGCTGGGCCCCAGGGGCTTGCAGAGTCCAAGACAATTCCCGGGCAGGTGACCCAGGCTCTGAGTGTGGGAGAACCTGGGGAAGCAGTGTTCATGCAAGTTGATGTTTTTTCTTCCCTCAAGCCCAAATGGCCTCCCTGGTGCCTTTGTGGGGTCACCCTGAACTGTTGGTGTGAATTTCCAGTTTTCAAGCTGGGGTTCTTTGCATTGCTAACAGGTCAGGCACGCAGCCTTGGGAAAAGCTACACCTGGGAAGGGGGTGCAGGCAATTCTGGATGAAGGGACAGACTCTTGAAACCTAGGGACCTCCAGCCACAGATGGACATGCTTCAAAGTTCATAGAGAAGACGAGGACCTGAGCAGACAAATGCTGGAGTCCTCCACTGGGGTGTTAGCGTCTTCTGATAGAAAAGGCGGGGATTGCTGCACCATTGTCAGGAGCCAGAACCTGAAGTGCAGAGCATCAAGGAGCTACAGAGTGTTCTGATGTGGGCTACCCACTCTCTTAGATGTCTCACTAGTCTATAGCCCCTGTCTCTATCCTAGTAACTTATCCCCTGCCCAAGTCAGAGCCAAGTCTAGTTCCATTGTGTGCTTGGGGGACACGTCTAGCTGTTCTTAGTACACCAAGATCCTGCTGTACTGGGGTCTAGGGCAGGGTGCCCAGAGGCCAACATTGCCTTTGGCACCTGCTGTAGCTTTCTGGATCACTCATCTTTACCCTGTGACAGAGCCCACTATACCTCCACTATACAGCTCAGACTATTGAGGCCTTGGAGAATCTTGTTTTAGGTTACACAACGGGTGGGGAGTTGCGGGGGGGGAGGATATGTCCTGGTATAAAGTTAGCTCTGCACTGTTGCGAAGGAGACAGACAATCCCAAGAAAAGTGCTTGCTATGTAAGCATGAGGACCTGAGTTCAGATCTCCAGAACCCACATCCAAAAGGGTTTGACATGGTGGCACAAGCATGGTGGCATGTGTTTATAATTCTGGAGCTGAGGCTGGAGGTAATTTGAATGGAGACAGGAATATTCCTGGGGCTTGCTAGTCAGCCAGTCTCTTCTAATTGGTAAGCCAGACCAGAGAGACCCATCTCAGAAAACAAGGAAGATGCATCTTGAGGATTGATGCCTGAGGTTGACCTCTAGCCTCTACACATGTGCACATACATACATGAATACAAGACCTCCCCACCTCCAAGATGACAACCCCAGTGACTACCATTAGCAAGTACAGGTGACTCTTACCCTTAAATGGAAGCCTGGTATACACCACTCCTCCATGTATCCCCAGGCAAGACTCAGGAGTATGCCAAGAGATAGCCATCAAGCACAGAGCTTAGCAGCATAAGACTGGCATTTGACTGGGATTACAACTGTGCACCCCTGAGTACCCCTCTTACAGCAGGGTGCAGTTTTTGAGATGGGGAGGGATAGGAGATGGGCCTCCCATAGGGCATGAGGCCCCTGACCAGAGTGCAGATAAACACCCAAGGCAACCGGACTTCTCCATTCCCACCACCCCTTTACCCTCTTACCAGCCCTTCCTCAAACGGTAATATCTTCATAGGGAAAGCCTGGCCCCAGAGCCAGCAATGGGACCCTGGCTGCCAGTCCTGCTCTATTGTGAAGAAACCCAATCCAGGCAGGAGGACGGCTGTCGCTCCTCACGATTTAGGGCTGTCACCTGGCAGAGTGGAGGGCTCTCCACTCTGACAGAATAAGTGGTTCCATGCTGAAAGGTGACACCGTAAAGCAATTCGGAGCCGGCAGGAGGACTGTATATCATGTGGGCCTGGATGTGTGTGTGTTTTTCTTTCTGGCTCTCCTTCCTGGTCTCCTTGCTGTGGCCCCCACCCCCCACCCAGTGATCTTATCAGAGCATCCTGGGCCAGATGTGATTTTCTATCAAGAGGATGGGGCCCTAGGCAGCCCCAAGGGGGAGGGGAGCCTTGTAGAGGGTGGGCTCTGTGTCAGACACAAGTTAGACCCATATTTTCTACCAGCCAGAGAACAGAGCTCTTCACACCTGTAATTGGTGAGGAAGGTGTCAGCTCCCCCTCCCCCAACTTGCTTGTGACCACTAAGCCACAAGTAAATGCATAAGAGGCTAGCAGCACCGCATGTGGAATGGCTGAAAACTGTTACTAGGCACATGGCTGTCCTTTGTCATTCAGCCCAGGACAGGCCTGTTAGCTCCCTTTGTTAATCCATGAGACCATAAGCAATGATAGGCAGCAGTTTCTTTGAGTTTCTAGGGTTGGGGACAGCATTATGTATTTGGGCTTCAGTGTTTGCTTTAAATGCTTTTACTTCCTGGATCCCATGATCACCCCAGAGTCATGGACCAGTTATGGGAGTGTTACCATAGGGAATCTGACTAACTGACTTTACCTAGCAGGTCCTCTGTCAGGAGGGTATTATCTTATTCCTCTTTATAGAAAAGAATACCATGGCTCACTCAAGGATGGAAGAACTTGTTAGGGGGCACCCTCTAAGCAGGCCAATGTTCCTGGGGGACCCTGGAGTCTCCATTCCTTTTCTTGTCCCAATAGTCGATAGGCATGCTGCCATCTCTGTTGTCAGTAGGTGGTATATGCAACTCCAGGGATAGACAGAAGGTAAAGAGAAAAGGAGAAACGGAAGCCTCTGAACTCATTTCTCTTGGCTACTACCCTACTTCCCTTATAGTAACCCCCCACCCCTTGATAGAGCTCTTCCAAAGTAAAAACCTCCTTGCCTCTCTTGACTCCCTTAAACACTCAAGTTGGGCAGTGGATACTGTGTG